AATAAATTTGTTCGTCTCTAAGGTGCCACAAGTATTCCTGTTCTTTTTGCGGATACAGACTAACACGGCTGCTACTCTGAAACCTGTTAAATACCTGTGTATTAAGGTCTGAATCTGTATCTGTACTAAGGTTTTTATCTGTGGAAGCCGCTGGGAGAAGGTTAGCCACATACTGGTGAAATCTAAGGCAGAAGCCCTGAAGTTGTGGCTTAAATGTGAACAATAAACTGGTGTTAGTATTGAAATATTGAATCGGCTCAGGGTGGATCACATTGCCTGGGTGAAGTTCTCTAATTGGGATTAATAACTAAATGGGCAACTGCCTCCTTGGGTTCCTGCTTTAGGATTTATAAGGGTTGATTTTTTGTTGTATTATTCTGATGATTTGGCTGAACTGATGACTTGATTCCAAAGCAGGATCCTTATTAACTGATGAATTTCCTGATCTGACCTGAACGTGATCACGGTATTGTATACCCCAGAGCTAGCTGAGTAGTGTTAATAATACTTTAGGTTTAGGAGGTGTGTTCTTCATTTTATTTGTGCATTTTAATGAAATGTGTAAAAGGGATATTGAGTCATGGCTTTCAATAAGCTACATGGGCCAGAACCGTAGAGAATGTGGGTGAAAATCAAGCAGCCCAAATTGGAGCCTTATCAGCTCCCTCTATATTAATCCGTTGGTTCTCATATAGGAACAGCTGGGTGGGCACCCATTTCATCTCCCACTGCAACCTGGGGGGGCTCAGAGCATCGTAAGGCAAAATGACCTCCCCTCTCCCCTTCTCAGGCTTTCAGGAGTAGTGGGGGTACGCATGGGCCAGGGGCCATGTGTCTGCCTGCGGGGGGGGGGGGGGGCGGGGGGGGGGGGGGCCATGTGTCTGCGTGGGGGGGGGGGGGTTGGCGGAAGGAGGGGTAGTAGAGCTTGGGTGGTGGTGGATTTCTCTGCTGTCACTGTCATCACCAGGCCTAGGTGCCACACCCATCTGGTTTGCCCTGGGGTTGTGTTCCCGTCAGGCCCAGCTGAAATTGGGGGTCTCATTTGAAGGGTTCTAAATGGAGGTGACAGGGCTCGACCGAGCCAGAAATGTGGGGGGGGGGCGGAGGTCCTCTGGTTCGCTCAACCCGTCCCCAGCAGCCAGACCTGGGTGGGAAGTGGTGACAGCCACCGCCTCCCAAGGGGGGCACAAAGGCAGCCCCTGGGAGCGGCCACCCTCAGCTGGTGTGAGAAGCGGCTCCGTCCCGCCCCCTCTGCTCCCCATAGACACTGGTAGCAGGGTCCCTCTGCTCAGCCCAAGTTTGGGTCATTGCCTGCGCCCCTCCCCCTGCTGAGGTGTCCACGAGGGCGCAGGAGCTCTGGGGAGACACTGTGGTGCTGAGAGTCTCCCTGGGCTGGGGCCAGCCCAGAAGCATGTCATCCCCATTACTGTGGCCCCCAACCCCCCAGGAGCTGGTGGGATTGGCTGCCCTGGCCTGGGATGTGAGGCTGGAAGATTCCTCCCAGAGGTGACACGTGGGGCACTCCCCTCCCTTTACATTGTGCCCCTCCACTATCAGCAGGTATGAATCATTTCTGCTGGGAGAGGTAGATTGTCCCAGTCCCGGTGTATATGTACGCCCTGTCCCTTGTTGGACAGGATCTCAGGCTCTCCAGCTCCGGGAGGGGGCGTGCTGATACCACAGTTTCAGCCTACCAGACTGCATTGGGTCTAGCCATGATGAGATTCACGGGTCAGGGTCAAAGCGGCAGCCCCCAGATGCAGGGCAGTGTGGCCTAGTGGCCAGAGTCCATA